CTTGCCTACATTTGCCTTTGTCTGAGAAATGCTGTGTCTCTTTTCACTCGCCTTAGCATCTCGGATAGCGACATAAGAAATCTTGGTGAGCATTGCAGTAATTATTTCCGGGCTAAAGCTCTTTTCTTTAGTGTTAACCCTACTGTTTGGACTATTAGCTATATCGTCCCAGCCCACACCCAGCATATGAAAGACAAATATGGCCTTGGTCTTGGCCTCAATTCTATGGAGGGCCGAGAGGCTAAGCATGTGTTCATTGCTAAATATCGCAAGAATAGTAATTACCAGAACAGGTGGGAGCAGATTTTTCAGCATGAGTTTGTCTCTCTTGTATGGTTAAGAGAAAGAGATTATAATTTCTCCATGGGGAAGGTCTCTACATTAAAATCTTACATTACAAATTCGGTTAGCAGTGATAATAAAGCTTTCTGCCACTGCGGGCTTAAAAAGGAGTGTGTTACTGATAGCAAGTGTAGATTCTGTGGTAGCAAGTTAAGGAATGACATTGAAGTGAGTGAAGTGTTGCTATCCAAGGCTGATCTAAGTTAGTGTTGGAATGTGTTGAGGAAGTGTTGGAACAATAAGTTAGTTGTTTGACGTAATGGTGGGTTGTTTACAAACCTCTTATTAAATAGTTATTTAAATGCACAACATGTATGGATATTGTTATTTATTTAAAAAATGACATTGAAGTGAACAGTTAATAATAATGCTGTTTTTTTAAACTAACATGCCAATGTCTTGTGACATAAGTTTTAAAGTATATAAAATGTTGTTTAGTACATTTTAAATTGTATCATAAAAAATGTTTATAACATGTATTTTGTCATTCATATATTAAATAAAATATTTTTAACGTCAACAAAGGACTTGTGTTTATGTTTTTGAAATTGTTTAATCTTATCAATTTATCCTGTTATATTCACCCAGGCATTTTGTGGGCATTAGACACCCTTCCATTTCTCGAGAAAGAAGAAATTTGATTATTTTGTTCTGAGGGTGAGAAAATTGACTGCCAAATATGGGCATAGGATGTTAACAGTTTAAATTGATCAGCAAATTACTGTTTTCAACTAAACAGTTTTATTGAGTACTGGTAAATATATCACTTAACCCATTGAACTGCAAGACTCTACCCTTGACGAGTAAAATTGTCTGGCATTAAGGCGGATTTCCAGTCCTCGCACGATGCTCCTCGAAGCTCGCTGCGAGTGCTTGCATTTAGTTAAAATTAACTGTTTAGCATTGTGATTGGTTGAAAGTGCTCATGCATGCACTCGCAGCGAGCTGCGAGGAGCTTCGTGCGAGGACTGGAAATCCGCCCTTAGACAGAGTAAAATGATAAAAGTCTTTAAGCATTGTTGTTAAAGGCATTGTCACCCAATGAGTTAATAAATGAAATAACCTGATTATTATACATGTGAATTGTGGTAACAGCAAACAACTAGGAAGCCTGAAATAAATGTGTCACTATAAAGCATAATGCACCAGTCATTTTAAACCCCCTCCCTCCCCCTCCCCCTCCCCCCCATCTCGGGCATACCTGGAGCATGGCGGGGATAATCACCTAATTTCAACCGTTTTGTCACTTGCTGTCACTGCCTTGGTGACCAGGTCGTGGTGAATGGCGGGGGAATCACATGCTATACTTGGCTTGAAATGGCTTTTAATGAACAGTAACAAGTTATATAAATATAACTTGTATTTATATTGATTGATTGATTGATTGATTGATTGATTGATTGATTGATTGATTGATTGACTTTATTGACACTCCCCTAAAGGGGCTTTTCACTGACAAAAATATATATACATATCAATTAATTACTGTACATCGGATCCTAAAGTCATATAATAAGATCACGCAATTACTTTATACACAAACGCGACGTCAAATTCTTGACAACAAGATTAACAACAGCAGCATACAACATACATCAACATCATCAACAACGACAGCAAAAACAACAACAACAACAACAACATCAACGACAATAACAATAATAACGACAACTACAACAGAAAAACATGCCCTTAAGCTAACTATCTAGAAATTGCTAAAGCAGTTCTCGTTTCAGTTTAATTTTAAAACTTGGAATAGATTTGCAAAGTTTTAAGTCAGGGTTAATGTTGTTCCAGAGAGTGAACAACATTAATATTAATATTAGTGATTTATATTATTATTATACGTAATAATAATATAAATAAGAATACTAATAATATACCTAATATATATTAATATTAATATACAATAAGGGGCCATTCACAAAGGATGTCCGAACCGAAGGGGGGGGGG